TGTCCTAAGCAACCTTGCTTGGACACCAAAAGCTCTAAATAGCTATATCAACAATGGGATGAGGTATTAAAGCCCCACTACCATTTACAATGAAGTGTTAATATACCATACACAATAAACTTAAGCTGTAACAACAAGTAGGAATGCAATATACAGCCTTAAGTTGATAACCAAGTGAAACCCTAGCTTCTCTCTTCTGCTCAATTGAATAAACCTTCCATAGCACAATGCAGCTTCAACTGAAGTACACACAAGGTTCTCACAACCTTTTTCACAGTGCAATAACCTTGCTCAAGACATTAGTAGACAGTGAATAGCAAGCTCATAACAGATTTCTTTAAACAAGGGTATTTAGTCAAATTACTCTGTAGCTTTACCACTGACTGTTCTTCTGTATCCATATCCTTGAAATCACAATACTCACTTGCTCAACAGGTTACAACAATAATTAAAGCAAGGAAAGACAAATTCAGTTCCCAATAGGCTTGGACGCTCTCAAGGGCAATTCTGTCATAACACCTGAACCTTGAGCAATTGTAGGTTCTCACAGCTTCATATGATCATTAGACACTTGCACAAATAATGTTATCAAGTAGCAGAGCAAGTTTAGTACACTTTCAGCACAAAATCAGTGACAAAATAGCACACCTCAGGTTCAATTTTGCAGCTACTATGAAGCCTCTGAAACAAGGGCATAAATTGTATTCTATAAGTTTTCAGGCCTGGAATGCACTCTCACATACTTGGTTCTTCTTCTCACAAAAGCACAAAGGTTAAGCAATTCATTTCACAATTTAATTTCAGTCTCAAAATCAGTTATAGATCAGTTTCTGTAGAAACTCTACACTCATGGACAAAACTGTAAAATCACTGCACCACTGCCTTGAATTCGAAGCCTATTTCATGTAAATAAACATACTCAGACAGTAATTACATCAAGATAAGCATGGTATACAATTTTCATAGTTTAATTCCCAGATTTTCAGGCCTTAAACCTTAGCAGCTTAAGTTTACCAGGCCAAACTTCAAGTTGGTCAAATTTGTTGTAACTTCTGAACTTCACTAGCCTTTGTTCAACTATAGAAACTTTTTAAAATGATTGAAAGGTGAATCATAGCAAGATATTAACACTTCCTTACACAAATCAGAGGCTAAACCAGAAAACAAGCTTAAATGAGGGTTACGGATATGAAAAACTTACTTCAGCTCAACTTTGTTCAAGTAAGCACCTCCTGCAGATGTAAACATGATATAAGAGCTTTTTTAAACCTCCTTTAAGCTAAGATAGTGATTCCAGCAAATTTAAGTCCTTCTAGTCACCTTTTGCACCAGATTTTCAGTCCATTAGGCCTCCATCATCACTTCAATGTATTTTACACTTGCTTACTGATTTCTGAGAATGTATTTAGCTTTCATTCTTGATTAAGAACTCAGGAAATCATGTGTTCATATGGCCTCTCGAGACACTCTCATTTACCTTTCTTTACTAGGGTTTTCTTTTTGCTTTGAGGCTTACCCTTTCAATTGCTCTATATAACAACCTTTATATAGGCCACACACTTCCAACCCTACTATGGATAATGCTGAGCTATATTCCACCTATCACAATGAGGAGATACACTTGATCTTCCAGTGTGAGAAAGGACTACAATGTCCTTGTATATTTCAGCTGAAAGCAACTCATTTAGTAGCCTTTGACAGATATTATATACACATAAATGTATATATGTGTAAATAAGCAATGCCTTGCAAACTTTAGGCTAATGAATGGTATTCTGTCCACATCCTATCTTGGCAGGACCACTATGCATGTGTTAGCATTTGTAGCTACACAGAATTACAAAAATATCCCTGTAGATTCCCCTTTTTGATATACCAGCAAAAATACTGCTGTCACATTTGATTGAGCTGGTATATAGATAATTCTAGCTCAGTTGAACAATGTAGCTTCATGGATATATATAATATGAATATAGTGATATGTACAAAGACAAAAATGCCCTTAATAAGGGTTGTAGGCCAATTGAGTGTGTTGTCACAGTTTTCACAAAACTGAGTACAATGTGCCTTTAACAACATGAGATTCAACCTCCAGTATAATGTGCCTTTAACAACATGAGACTCAACCTCCAACATATCAATGTACCAATGTTAAATTGTCAACACACCAATGCACCAATGTCAAATTGCTTTAAACCTTGTTACTTGCATTTTGTCATTAAAAGAGCAAACCTCAAGATAAACATCCAACATTGTATCGTTCATCGGTTCTCTATTTGGGTTGTAATGAAAAAGACTTATTCATGAGTTTTGACCCACCTTTGTTGTAATATTTTTCAGGTCCTTGTTAGTACCAGGCGTAGAGGTTGTTCGTGTAGATCAGAGATCAGTCATCATCATTCTTCTGGTGTCATTGACATAGGAGTTCATCTTCGCTCAGTTAACTTAGTTCATGTATTTATTGCTCAGTAGACTTAGGCGTTGTTTCCCGTATGAGATTTATTAGGGGTCCACGATATTAGGATTCTCGACCAGGTTGTATGTTGTAGATTCATTATTTTATCATCTAGATTTTTGTATCAATTATTATTATTATATTTATTAATTTAGTTTTCTTTCATGATTATTATTTATTATGTTTTTATTCCTTCTTGTATTCTGTGTTTTATTACTCAACTGTTTTGATATCCCTAGGCTTTCAGATTTGGGACTGGCCAACCTACACGTGGAAATTCAACGGTATCACAACTTCCACTAGTAGCAACACTACAAACTCGTGGATATAGTGGACCTCTTCTGTGTAATACTCTCTCGGACTAAAAAATGCATCTATACTATATAAATGCTGAATTGAGTGCAATCCGAATTAAATGGTTCGGACAAATTTTAATATGGCTCGGTGAAATTAGATTATGGTCTAAATGGCTCAAACCACTTGACCTATGGCTTGAACCCACTTAACCTTAGGTTCAAGTCTAGGGAGAGAGAGAATAAATCAGAGAATTTAAAAATTAAATTATTTTTATTATTATTTAGATTTTGGCGTATTTAGTTCACTTTATTTTAATTTTTCGTTCACTGTTAAATGTTAATATCCTCAAATGTGTTTGTCTTTTATTTATTTATTTTTGCTGCTTTTCATGTTATTGATTCTCATTGATGATGAATCAGAGCTCTCAAGCTACACTATATTACTAGGGATCAATATGAATATTTAAAAATAGTACGTAGTAACAATATGTTCATATATACTATAACAATATATATATACATGGACTTGGGGAGAGAGCAAAGAGACAGTGATGAGATGGAGAGACAGTTGGGCAAATGGATTTGATTGGGGTAAAAAAAAGCAAAATGCTCATCTTGGAGGGTATTTTTGTTATTAATTATAACAAGTCAGTCACGTGTATGACGGAAAGGGATTTCTGCGACTGGAGGGGGCAAAGTGCTCACTTTTGGAAGTACTACCAATGACTTGCTCATTTTTTTAGTTAAGGGGTATTTTGCTCATTTGTTGAGAGTTCAAGAGGTATTTCGCACATTTACCTTATTAAACCTATGTAATAATTGTTTGAATAAAAAAATAAAAAATAAATAAAAATAACTGTTCCTAATTGAATGCGAGCCATCAAAAAAAAAAAATATTAACTTTTACTTTTTGGTAACATTGTAAAATATTTGAAAAGTTTTATGATAATTATTTTTGAAAGGAAAAACATAAACTTGTTCATTTAACAACGAATGTATTAATCAATTACATAAAATATTTTAGAAAAATCTAATATACTTACAAGAGTCCTTGTAGCATTATGTAATATTGGAATGGCACAAAAATTACAATTGTAGCATTACTATTTCGGAAATCATTTTTTTTTTTTGTAATAGTAGAATCTTTTCAAGCATATATACCAGAAAAGTCATATATATATATAATGAGAATAAACGTGAATGCGTTCGAAATGAATGAAAAAGTTGTCTGTGGCAAGTTTTCAATACACTATTTCTGTACCAAACATCTAATATTATTGTTTAAATACTTATTAGGCCAAGGTTGGAGTGATATATAATTGATGTTGTATTCAAATTTGACGAATGAGGCACGGAGGGAGAGAGAGAGAGAGAGAGAGAGAGAGAGAGAGAGAGTTGCAGTGCACGTGGGTGCATGGTGGCAAAGCTGCAGAAAGAAACACAGGGGGTTTGGTTGTGAGAAAGAGAAGATGTAGCAGTCAAATGGGTGACTTTTGTGAAGGAATAAAGCATGCCATTGCTGCCTAGATTCTGAATGATCACGACCCTTTCCTGAGGATGTATATGCCGAGCTAGGTGTGTGAAGGAAAAAAAAAAAAAAGAAAACTATGAGTGGGGGAGTGATGTGTGTGAAATTTTTATCAATCATTAAAAAAAAATAATAATAATAAAATATATTATAAATATATGCACATTTAATTTTTTTAATATCTAAAAATTAACTATCTCAATAGCCTTTTGACAAAAGATAAAGGTGAATTGGGTCCACATATAAGTAAATAAAATAATATTGTATATCACTTGTGTATACGGTATATGTACATAGTAAAAGAAAATTTAACAATGTAACTTTCTTACTCCAGTTGCTGAGTTGGCGCTTAGTGGGCAGTGACAACGGCAAGTGTGGCTGAGTTGGCTTCATCCAGTGAGAGGTGCCATGGAAAAGATTTTTGCCTTGGTTGCGAGAGAGAGAGAGAGAGAGAAGATCCAGTAGTCAAATGGGTGACTTTTGTGAAGGTATAGAGCACGCCGTTGCTACCTAGATTCTGAATGATCATGACCCCTTCCGGATTCTCCTGGGGACGTACATCGCGAGCTAGGTTGGGTGTAACGTGTTTTTGAATTTATTTAGCAAATACTTATGTTCACATTTCACATAGTAAAATGAGTGTGTGAGTGATGTGTGTGAGATTTTTATCAATAATTTTTAAAAAAACAAATAAAAAAATATAATATAAATATATGCACCTTTAATTTTTTTAATAACTAAAAATTAACTCACTCACTAGCCTTAAATTTTTTTTACATGTAACATGCAATTAACATAGAATGGTAATTCTCCTCATAGTTCTTAAATTTTGACCATCAGCATGCTGTGAAAGATGAATTTATCTATATTTCTAATGAAGAAATTCAGGAAACTCTACCTAAGTTAGTACTTATAAGATTTTTGAAAATGATTCAGATGTCTTGTGTGTTCAACTCTTCAATTCGTGTAAGCCTCCATCTTGAATAGTCTCTTGAGAGGAAGTGGGAACAGTAAAATGAACAGAATCAACCTCTTCCCTGACCACCACTATCTTCCCTCAAAGACTGGCCCGTCTCAATGGCTTGAAGGTATGGAACATTGCGCAGCATATGTAATAAACAAGATTCACAAGCTGCAGCAATGATATCAACCAGTAAAAGTATTCTAACTTCCCTTTATTCAAGTCATCATGGGGAAGCCAATTTGAACCACCTGGACCAGCACTAAACTTGTGCACTAGTGACACCAAAAGGGCACTGGAATAAACCCCAGCTGTATTGGCTATCGAAAACAACCCCAAAGCAGTATTCCTCAAGCTATCCGGTGCCTGGTCATACGAGAACTCAAGATATCCAATAAGCATGAAGGCCTCAGAGATGCCATGTAGGGCGGACTGTGGCACGAGCCAAAAGACAGTGACAGGAATTGTGGCATGTTTACGCTTCACTTCAATGAAGCCAGCAACTAGGGTGGCTAGTATGAAAATGAAACAGCCAATACCCATCCGCACCAGGAAAGAGATGCCCCGGCCTACACCCGTGAATCTACGGATAATAGGGACGAACACACAGACATAGAAGATTACTGTGACAAGCATGGAGGTGACTGTGAAGATGGTCATGGAGCTTTCAGGAATTTGAAATGACCTTGTCAGGTGTCTATCCATGGTGTGGGCTTGTTTGATTGAGAATCTGATTTGTTGGGCATAGGCTGCACTCAGGATGATTCCAGCTGCCCATATCGGTCCCATTCGAATAAACGTTTTCAGTTCTTCAACTCTATGGATGGTGTTTAGCCTCCACAGGTTGGGTGATTGGAGGTTGTCTTCTTCAGTGACAATGGCTGTCTTATCAAGAAATTTGCATCACACCACGAGCAAAAATTAAACTCTCACTTGACATTTATTAGTTATCAATTTTATCTTCAAATTTTTTTTTTTTTTTTTTTGTTTTTGGAAAGAAAATTCGATCATTTTTAACCAATGACAAATTGAACCAAGCTTTACAATATAAATGTACTAAATACTAGGTGGCCTGACAGTTCAACAAACTGATAAACCAATGCAATGAATAAAACAGAAGTGATTGATATAAGATTTCAAAGTTAATTCTTCTAGTACAAGTGGAGTGGGGATAATCTAATGAAGGACCAGAATGCTTAGAATTATGAAATGACCTTGTACAAGGCTTAGAATTATGAATATGAGGCACAAATAATCCATAATTTTCCTTTTCGAACAAGCAAGAATGCTTGGAATGGTAGTCCTACTAGTCCATTCTCACACATCCAGTTATCTACATAGAGGAAAATGGCTGAATCATATGGACTCTCTCATATAACGATCATGACAACAAAAGATACAGCGGTTTTCATCACTCTGAATTCTAACATACACACATGTTTTTGCCAAATGAAATTCACTAATGTTATTAATAAGTCAGTTCATATTAAATATGAAATTACATTTTAAAAAATTAATAAACTTTAAATTGTTGATTTTAAAAATAACTTCATATTGCCTTTCAGAATTTTGTTAAAGTGAAAAGAGATACAAAATTTGTAAGTTTTCCCAAAGAGTAAGAAAGTCATTCGTTATTGAAAATACTATCTTTGTGTTTCAATTCATGCAATATCTACCAATATTCTCATATGTTCAGTGTAGTTCATAACATCAACACAAAACAAACAGAGAGAGGCAGAGGGACTTACTGCATATGTTGAGTGTGAAGAAGCCTCCGATTGCCGGCTATAGAAGCATCAAGCTCCTCATTCTCATACAACCCTCTAGGATCTGAGACCATGGTTAGACTTCTTTTCCTTATTGCAGCAAAGGAGACTTTTAATAACCGTGTATATGGGCTCCCTACGGGGTCTAGTTTTCGGTACAAAGGATATCCGGAAATGAAGGCAATGACGGATAATAACACTCCTATGGTAGGGACTCCAAATCCCCATGCCCGTCCAAAATTGTGTTGAGCATACACCACTTCTATTGTTGCTAACACGGTAGGTAACCCCATGAAGAAGTAGTACCAATTGAAGAAGTTCCCCATCTTACTCTTTTCTTCAAACTGATCTGCCCCAAATGGTAACACGCAAGCCTGAATTCCACCAGACCCCAAAGCAGTCAGTAGGAGAGAGATGTAAACGGTTGCCAATTGGCCAAAATTGGCCTGTTGGCACACTTGCTTACCGTCACCTTCACATGGCGGAGGCCTCAATCCCGGTAGTGTTGATGATGATATTATACATATCGTCCCCTGATTACAAAAATATGGTAAGAGTTAAATTTTATATTCAAACAACAAATAGAAGCTCAATAATTTGACAACAATTTGGTTCGCTAATATTAATGTACGCATGCATTAATTTGTACAATTTGTTTTGATAATTTATATTTGATTGTACCATAAAAAAAATAAAATAAAATAATCATATTTGATTCCTAAGCACCAAGTATAAATAGGAGATTTGGGTAGAGAAACACCAAGTGACATTCTGTGAATAAGTGTGATTAAGTGAGTCCTGGTGTGTGCAACTTGTATACAAAGCTTTGGTGTGGGTGCGTTGTAAAGTGTCCAAATACTTGTGTGCATTGTTGTGTATTATTCTTTGTCCAGTGGTAAAAGTCATGATATTTTTATTTATTTATTTTGAAGATAAAACAATTTGTATTAATTTTTGCAGTTGAATCTTTTGAGTAAAGAGAAAACAAGCTCCTCCCCCTCCTCCTCCTCCACCACCTATCCATCCTCCCGCTAATGCTAGGATGAATGCCCTCACGCGGGAACTCTCTGCTGTTGAGAAATTTGTTGATGTCCTTCCAAGGGATAATTTGTTACTCAACAGGAGACTCAACCAATTCCAACCAGATGTGGACCATGGGTTGGAGCTGACGAGGCCAAGAGCTTAAGGAACCAGGTTAAACTTCTACGAGAACAGATTCAGATCTATAAAGATTTCAAGCATCCTATTGAACTGCATAAGGAAATTGACAAGCTTTTGAAGGTAATCACTCATTTACAAGACACTTTAAATTCTCATTATCCTGCTGCACATGATCTCACTCAGTCCCATGGTACCACATCATCTCTTCCCCTCCCCTGATCCTCTGGTAGGATCAAGGAATCATGATTTTCCACCACTTAACACTGAATGTGTTCATGCTTCACTAATGCTGCATCCTCCTCATGTAAGGCTCTCTCTGACCAACCCCTTTCCTATACCACCCTTACTCCCCCTCTCTGGTCCCATGTTGCAGCCAGTTACCAATAATGGCAGGACTTATGTGGATCCACCACCATGTACTAAAACTGAAGGCACTCTGGAATGAAAAAGCTGCCTTATTGGTTTCTTTCTCCAAAAGAATCTTCATTTTAAATTGGTCAGTACCATTGCTACCCCTAATTACTTCAAGACTAACTACTAGTGACTTCCAATCACTCATTGATAGAATGCTACAAAATAGGCACCTTGGTCAACATTTAGTCGAGCACAAGATCAACAATGGAGCTACAAGTATGGTCTTCTTTGACAATTGACTCCCATGCGGCCCCCTTTACCAGGTATTATCTAAATCTGCTGCTTATAGACAGGGACTCGACTCCAATTTGCCCTAAATCAAGAAGTAAATAATTCAATTCAATCCTACAGCTGTACTATAAGAGATAAAATCTCAACATGATGATCAACAAATATATGGAAGTATCCTCTCTACTCTTATATAATATCTCTCTAACCTTGTCTCTGTGACAACTCAAACCTACCTTCCCCAAACATTAACTCCAATGATTTCATTCAATGGACACCATCACCCACAAAGATATACACACTCAAGCATACCCTCAAAGCCATTTCACAACCTCTACCCTCCATGCACTACCACGAACTGGCGTGGTTCAGCAAGTATATACCCAAACATTCTTTCTGCCAATATTTAACAATACGAGAGAAGTTATTGACTCAATATAAACCCTCTTTATAGTTCACAACGCAGCCAAATGTGTGTGCACTGTGTCTCAATGCAGCGGAGAGTCATGAGCACCTCTTCCCTCAATGCTTTTACTCTAAAACTATAAGAAATGGGATATAAAATAAGTGTGGCTTTTTACACAAGCCCTAATTCTTGGAATGACTTCCTCATTTGGGCATCATCCATGTGTGGAGGGAAAGGAACAACATAAATTTTTCGAAACAAATCCTTACCTCCGTTACAGCCTTTGAATTCAGTGATCAATGCCATCTGATTGAAGCTGTTCTTGGCTAAGAAATGTAGATGTCCATATGCAGAAACCATTACCACTGAATGGAACCTTCCCAGCTCCTTCTTTGAACCATCACTTTCCAACCCCTTCTTTACCTTTACCTTAGCGTCTCAACCACCTTCACCACCACCATAACCACCATTATATAGTATGCTTTCGGGTTTGTTGATTCTCCAGCTCAGGTTTATGGTTCAGTTAGTGCGTTTTGTTTTCATCTGACTGGGCTATGGTCTTAGGTTTTGTTAGGTTAGTTTCAAATGAGCAATTGGACTTTTGTCTTTGATCCTTGGGATCTATTTCTTGTTTTGTTTTTGACTTGTGCCCTTTGGCCTTGCTTGGCCTCTGATGTTCGGGCCTAGGGGTATGCCCCAATTATGCATGTATTTTTTTTTTTTTTCTTTTTCCTGTTATGTTAATTATTATTATGGCGATTAGCTTAAGGAAAATCAAATAACGGTTTGTCAACAGTTCAAACTGTCCGGCATTGAGCCAAGTAGAGCTATTTTTTTAATTCAAGAGCTCTGCTATTTTCAATTGAACAAAGTTATATCTAAAAATTACAGAATAAAAAACACATTCAAATTAAAGCATAACTCTGTTAGTTTCTTTATTCACATATAGAGAGAGAGTGTGTGTCTTACCATTAAGTACATTATGGAGGAAATTATTATGGTCCAGAACCGTCCGACACCTGCGTCTGCCACAACGCCCCCGAGCAATGGTGTCAAGCTTGTGAGGATATTAAAAATGTTGACGGTGTTGACTGCTTTGGTAAACGGCATCTGAAGCTGCTTGATTAAGTGACTAATCACATTTACATTAAGAACTAGAATTGCAAACTTCACCGATGCATCAATTGCTGCACAAATTAAACAATACCATCATTTTAAAAACAACATTTGGAGAAAGAAACTTCATGTTATTGTTATCAAACTTATGTACAAGATTACCAAAAATGAAGGGCATAGTGATTAATCCACCCTTTTTCTTTGGAGCTACTTTTTCTCTAATTTCTTCTCCGACTTCATCATTTCCCTCTATTTCTATGATTTCTTGGATAATTTCTTCTCTGACTCCATCATTTTCCTCTATTTCTATGATTTCTTGGCCGATTTCTTGGGTCTCTGTAATTTTTTCAATTATCTCTTCAATTATTTCTTCTATGATCTCCAATGCCTCAATATTTTGTTCATTGACTTCCTCAATTTCCGGTACCTCTATAATTTCATCCTGAATTCATACAACACAACTAAATTAGAAAAATGTGTGGCTGATCCACATTCATACAGTTCACTTATTTTCTGAGGCATTAACATTGACTCCACTTCTATATGTACATAGATATATATATATATATATATATATATATATATAGATTCTATCATATGAAGATGTAGTAATATAGAGAAGAGAAGAAAGAGTTGCAGAGAGAAAGAGAGAAAAATTATTCTGTATTTGTTTTTGTTTTTGTTTTTGCTTTTCTTCAACGAATTGAGTTTGTTTCTCTCCTGTGGGTTATAACAAATCACCATAAGTGATTTGTGAGTGATCTCTGCCTCAGAGCGAGGAAAAGGTGAAAAACAGAGCACCCAAGCCACCAACGCAGAAATTAAATCGATCAAAACCATATTTTGATCGCAGAAGAAGGTCCACAAGACCGAGACGAACACGCTGTTGCGAAGAACAGCCCCAGAAGAGGTTTCACGCGCCTGAACGCCCCGCCTGAAAATTTGAGAGTAGATCTCACGCGCAAGACATGCGCTCACGCGTCTTCTCCGGCGAATTTCCCATTCCGGGGAAATTTGTTTTTTTGGCTGTTTCAAGTCATTTTTAGGCCAATTTTGACAGTTCAAAAACCCATTCTTAGCTAAACGGACCGTTTCGGTCGCAACCGCGAAGTCCCTTTTTTCAAATTCAGCTCCGATCTGTTAGAGTCAAGCACCCGAAGTGCTAAAGCAAATCCGATGCCATCCTCCAACAATTTCTTCCAGCCCCAGCTACAGTGTTTGGTGTGGGAGTCCTAGCTAACAGTAGTGATGAACAACATCCTTAATTCAGGAGCTTTTGCATTTTTTGAATTATCATTATTATTTTTTGATGCCTTAGTCTACTGTATCACTTTTCTTTCTTGATACTTGCTCTTGCACTTGGATCAAGTGCAAGAGCAAGTATCAAGAAAGAAAAGTGATACAGTAGACTAAGGCATCAAAAAATAATAATGATAATTCAAAAAATGCAAAAGCTCCTGAATTAAGGATGTTGTTCATCACTACTGTTAGCTAGGACTCCCACACCAAACACTGTAGCTGGGGCTGGAAGAAATTGTTGGAGGATGGCATCGGATTTGCTTTAGCACTTCGGGTGCTTGACTCTAACAGATCGGAGCTGAATTTGAAAAAAGGGACTTCGCGGTTGCGACCGAAACGGTCCGTTTAGCTAAGAATGGGTTTTTGAACTGTCAAAATTGGCCTAAAAATGACTTGAAACAGCCAAAAAAACAAATTTCCCCGGAATGGGAAATTCGCCGGAGAAGACGCGTGAGCGCATGTCTTGCGCGTGAGATCTACTCTCAAATTTTCAGGCGGGGCGTTCAGGCGCGTGAAACCTCTTCTGGGGCTGTTCTTCGCAACAGCGTGTTCGTCTCGGTCTTGTGGACCTTCTTCTGCGATCAAAATATGGTTTTGATCGATTTAATTTCTGCGTTGGTGGCTTGGGTGCTCTGTTTTTCACCTTTTCCTCGCTCTGAGGCAGAGATCACTCACAAATCACTTATGGTGATTTGTTATAACCCACAGGAGAGAACCAAACTCAATTCGTTGAAGAAAAGCAAAAACAAAAACAAAAACAAATACAGAATAATTTTTCTCTCTTTCTCTCTGCAACTCTTTCTTCTCTTCTCTATATTACTATCTTCATATGATAGAATCTATTTATAGGCAGTAAAGAAGTGTTCAGTAAAACCTGTCAAGGTTGAATTCCACCGGATGGTTCTTCACGTACGGCACCTTCCATGGCGGTGACTGGTTGCTTCTAGCATCTTCTTGCAGCTTCTGGGTTCTTCTTGTGGCTTCTTGAATTGTATGTGGCTTCTTGCATAAAAATGGAATTGAGGAGAAGCCAAGTTTAAGTTTAGTTTCAACAAGAGGGTCGTCGTCAGAATGCTGCTGATTTGAGAAGATGTCCATGGTCTTGAAAATGATGATTCAAGCCAAAACAATGCTGCTATATTTGGTGTGTGTATTATTATTGCAGTTGGAGCGCAGTGAGAGATTAAGGAAAAGTTGCAGAGACTTGCTTGTATGAATGGTTCTGATATTAATGGAGGTTTGAAAAATAAAGGGTTAAATGCAAAAAACCCCTCTGAACTATTAAGGAATTAGCAACTAACCCCCCTAAACTACTAAAGTTGCCACTAACCCCTAAACTATGATTTTTGTTGCAGTTTGCCCCATCCGGCGAGGCTCCGGTCAGACCTCACGGTTAAAGTGCCACACTATAATTTTAATGACCATGATGCCCTTATGAGCATGAAAAGACGCTAATGCCCCTTATATGACCTTTGCACCCAAAACCACTTAAAACACCCAAACACGCCCTTATGCTAAAATACACATTGTTCATCGTCAATACAAACAGATGTGTGGTTATAAACACTGTTCATCTTTTCACAGTGTGCTTATGCTTTCTGATTTAAAAAATAAAAAAATAAAAAATTGTGTTCAGCACAGAAGAAAAATTACACAATCGTGAAAGCGAAAAAAGGGAAATATGGGCCTCAAATCCCCAAACCTTCAGTTCGAATCTCTCAGGAAATGCATCAACGATGAGTCAGCTGTTCATCGGCAGTGTCGGCGCAGAGTGTCCTGTAGTAGAACACTCTATATATAGCCAACCTCATACCTCTCAATCGTCAATGCACAACCAAAATACTTAGAACCCTAACCCAATTTCAGAAAAAAATTTAAATAATTTCCCAAATCATCCTCATACATATCAATCGCTCTCAATGTGTGAACTGATTCCTGCAATGCTTGCATCAATGATACCTAATTTACACCTCAATCACAAAACAAATTTTAATTATTCATGCAAGAAAAGATACAAAAGACATATGCCTATATATATATATATATATATATATATATATATATATATATATATATATATATATATATCCACTGACAGAGCCAAGACCAGAGAGCCGCGAGTACCACGTCCGATGGCGATAGATCAGGCGAGTACACATCGACGTTGGTAAGATTCTATCCATATCCATATCCATCATAATCACCATGGCCATTGTGAACCCATTCGCGTCACAATCCAAACCAACTCCTACACCATTCTTGCCATCCCCGCCGATGATACCGTCACCACCGTCCCCACAACTACACCTTCCCACATGGAAAACACTATCGCCTCGGCCGGATCATTCAAGAACAGCTCATTGGCGGAGTAGGAGGTCATCGATCCGGCTCACTAGAGTAAAACCAGTCGAGAGAGGAGACCAAAGGTCGTCGGCGGGGGTAGCGAAGCACTACGACGGCTTCCCCCTCCAGAAACTGACCCACCGCTCCTTCCCGAAACCGACGCAGCACTGGTCCGGCCTCCGTTCCTCTCCTCTTCTTCACAACGGCAGCTTTGCTCAAATCAGCCTCTGTTCCTTCCCGGTGCTTGACAACGGCAGAAAGTTGATTTGAGGCAGTAAGGGATAGGCTCAATTGTGTTGACGTAATTCCGGCTACGCGGATGACGGTGGTCGTCGTTGGTTGTGGTTTCCCCCAAGGAAAATGATGTTGTACAGATTCTACCCAAAAAAAAAATTGCTGCAGAGAGTTTGGTTTTTGGTTGCACAGTTAATCGTGAATAAGGAAGGAAGAGTAAAGGTTCATTTGTTTTGTTTGATGCCAACAAAATTATGCCACGTGTTGTTTATAATGTGGAAACTTATCTCTTGCTGTGTTGTCGCATTCAGATGGGTTGCTCTAATTTCACTTAGCCACATCAGCAATTTAATAGGCTAAAGATCAAAACTATGCCGTTTTACATTAAGGGTAAAATTGTCTTTTGTCTTTTCCGGTGACTTGATGGGGTAAATTGTAACAAAACAATAGTTTAGGGGTTTTTTTTTAGTTCAGGGGGGTTTCTTGCAAAACCCCAATAGTTCAGGGGGGTTTTTTGCATTTAACCCAAAAACAAATGGTGACAACTACAACAGGAAAAATAATAAGATAAAATAAATAAAAAAAGAAAAATATATATACATATAGCTATGCAGGAGTGAATAGAGTTTCCAATGTTGGTTTTAGGCTTCCAAAAAAAATTCATTCCACTCTATCCCCATCCTATACCCATGTCCAATTTTTATTTTTCAAAACATGCAAAAGCTCCAGAATTAAGGCTGTTGTGAGTGATTTTTTCATCACTTGAGAAATAATCTAATAATATGCCGCTGCAACCTACAATTCATCACCGCCACAGGTATTTCCTCATAATCTCTCCAGAAGGAACCTCCTGACCCAAGGCCAATCATATTAGCGAATCTTCCACAAGTAACAAACCGGCCACCAATTGCTAATCAACCGGCCCAATCAATTCTTATAAATTATCTATGGCTTCTATACTATTCTAATTTCTAAGATTCTAAAACCACTACTGTTAGTTAGGACTTCCACACCAAACACTGTAGGAGTGGGCATTGACAAGCCCAGAACCACTGGGTCTCAAACGCTACTTTTCTGATCAGTCTTAGTTTCCCTATTGCAGAGTCTTTAGCTGTTAGATTTGATAAATAAATTTTGGATCCAGCCACCCCAGCCCATGGACTAAACCCACCCAAAACTGCAATAAATAAATAAATTGAAACTTCCTTTTTTTCTTTTTTTCTTTTTTGTGATTGAATAAAATTTTACTACAATAGTTAGTAATTTTTAAATAAAAATGAATTCAGTACATAATTTATATTATTATTATTATTATTTTTGGAATTGAGAACATAATAAAATTAATGAAAATGCATTGCAATGTGGCAAAAATACACATAATCAAAATTGGGTTGATGGTTCCAAATTAGTTGATACTAAAACTCAGCAGTCATCTAGTGGGTTATGGACTAATGCTTCAGGTTTGTTTAATTAAGGCTCATTTGATTCTGAATTTAGATTTTTTTTTTTATTTTTTCTTTCAGAAAGGTAAATGGTATTTTTATTTTTATTTGGCACCTTTTGCCTATGTAGTGTTGGTATATTAATTGTGTTTTCCTTTCTCCCTGTCTAGCAAACACTTTCTAATTTTTAGGATTTCAAAGACCTGCCATTTGAATGAAAAGGGAAACTCAACTAATTCATTCATTGTCTCTCCATCAATTCAGAATGAGTAAAATAAAGAAATATCTAAAATTATAGTGCTTATATTTGATAAATATACACCATTTGTTCTGATGCAGATTGCAGCCTTAGTAATATGTAATTGCAATGCAATTACTTCATATTGAAAGGAACTTCAACAATAATATTCTTTAATTTAGTTTAAACTAGAACTTCCAAGGAGGCTAAAAATATAGTTATTAAATTTGATGAATAAACAACCTATATTTTACTTTTATTTAGGTTTTATTATATTGATGTTGTTTGTTTAATATTTACTTTTTTCCTTATTTTCTTTCATTGTGAAATAAAGCAGCTAATGGTCACTCTTTCTCAATTTTTGTGTTAATATGTAATAAAGCGTCATTTTAATACCGAATTACTTATTCCGGATGCATTTGACTTGAGCCAATGACTTCCAGAATTAAAATCTTTTCCAATTTTAGCGATGAGCTCGAGCACAAATTTTAGCCACGAAGTAGCGCTCGAGCACTGTCTACAAGGATTGAGCGCCATCTTTTGGAAAACAACGCTCAGCCCAGTGATGGGGTGCTCGAGCGCTGATGCGTGATTTTGGCCTGAACATGTTCCGTTCAGTCCCGAATTGATTATTTAAGGTCCCGATCATATTATAACAACTTGGGAACAGAGGTAGGTGGATTTAATGGCATGAAATTTAAGCATGCATGTTAGCACGAGATTTATTCAATTATTAAATAGTAATTTGAATATGTTGTATTGTTTAAATATTAGGATTTAAATGTTTAGCATTGGATTATGGTTTAACTATCTTAATTACTGGAATTATAAATTATCGTAATGTTTCTTGGCTGGGTTTTTGGTAGTCATGGTTTATATAAAGGACTTCAATAGCTTATTTCTGTGATGTATAAATGTTAAATTACTGTAATAATTGCAGTTCTTGATAGTATGATTATAATCATGTTCATAGTTGTATTATGATCTTATATTGATCTATATATGTGGATTGTTTGGGGACCATCGTCAGGATATGGTTCTATGTCATACTATAGTCAAGATACGGATAACATTCCATTGTCAAGATATGGCTATATTATTTTATATGTTCTCGAACCATTGTCGGGATATGGTTACGGTAGTTTATTTTTGGTGTGCCATTATCAGGATATGGCTAGTTATATAAATCATTATTATATGTATATAATACGAGTTTGAGGTCTCGTGATCAGTGGTTAGGACTGAGGCGTATATTGCCGGTTGAGATGGGTAGCTGGATATATGGATATGTATGCCATGGTAGAAAGAGGACTCGTGACCACCTTATGTACGCTTTGTATGAGATACTCACTATCCGGTTGAGTCTGTCTTAGTCTAGTGAGAGACTTTAGTGTGTATATATATACTTATCGACTATGTAAATATTGCATGAGTTGGCTAGGGTTGTATAGTTCATCGGGTCTCTGTTTGGTTTGTAATGAAAATGACTTGTTCGTGGGTTTTGACCCACCTTTGTTGTTATATTTTTCAGATCCTTGTCAGTACCAGGCGCAGAGGTTGTTCATGCAAATCAAAGATCAGTCATCATCATTCTTCCGGAGTCGTTGACATATGAGTTCATCTTCGCTTAGTTAACTTAGTCCATATATTTATTGCTCAAAAAAATTAGGCGTTGTTTCTAATAAGAGATTTATTAGGGGTCCATGATATTCAGATTCCCGAGTTGTGTGTTGGAGATTCATTATTTTATCATCCGGATTTTTGTATCAGGGATTATTATTATATTTATTAATTTAGTTTTCTTTCATCATTATTATTTATTCGGTTTTTATTCCTTCTTG